ACCATTCTGATGCTGTGAAGCAGCAATGTGATTGGGAACCAATGCAATTTCAACGTAAACTAATGTGAACAAAACCCTAAATCTTCGGTAGGAAAATTGTATTGCTTTCCATTGAATGTTGGTTACGATTTTTCAGTATTCGAGTTGCTCGACGTGAAAACCGTTTTTTTCTCGCAGTTTATATGCGGCACTATCACTTCCTCCCTTTTGTGTTGTGTTTTAATTCGATTGCCAATTATTGGCAGAAAGCGCCCTTCTGAATTCAGACGGCCGTGGCCTGGTATCAAAGGTAATATTTTATTTCCTTGAAACTCAATGGGATAAAGTTTGCGCATAAATTTTTTCAATTCAGTCGAATTGTAGTTAATATATTCTTGGGAATGAAAAATGCTGGTAGCGGACGATTTTATTGTCCCTTCCACAAATACAAAACTGTACATAAGTACACAGAAGAGTACCCAGCAGAGTGAAAAATCAATTATAAACTACACACTCATACAAAAACATATAAAAGGATATGCAAGCTATGTTAAAGACGTAAGAGTGGGGGAGCAGAAATCTTCAGACACCACTATCTACTGGTAGGAAAAATAAAAAGCAACAAATAGCATCAGCAAATTATAGGCATATCATATAAAGATTAAGACCATAAAACTAGGGGAGGAAATTATGTGGCAGCAGATAAAAGCGAAACTGATATCAGCCGCAGAGGAATCATTCGGAGTAAAGAGGGGAAAGAAGCACATCAAGCGAACATCATGGTGGAATGATAATATAAAGGAGCGAGTAGAGATAAAGAAACAAAGTTGGAAACAATATATAAACAGTAAATCATAAGACACAACAAGAGGTACAAAAGTAACCAAGGAACATAGTGAAGAAAATAGTTAGAGAAACCAAGATATACTGACCAGGTGGAAGGACGAGCTAATGAACGAAAATTCCTAGTTGAGGAAGACGAAAAACACGAAGGAATAGAGAAAGAGGACGAGGGGACGCATAACCAGCAAGAAAGAGACAGTATAGAGGAGGAGATGATGGAGGCGTGAATAGACTGAAAAATTGTAAATTACAAGATAACAGTAAAGATGATCAAAGACATGGGAAGTGCGGGAATGAAAATAATACTAGAAGTATATAATAAGACATGGAAGAAGAAAAGGATTTCTGAGAATTGGGAAGTAGGGCACGTTGTTCCGATATACAAAAAAGGTGACAGCAAACTGTGCAACAACTACCGAGGTATCACCCTGTTACGCTTCACTAAAACTGTATGAACATATACTGGAAGTTAAATGGAATATAATAGAACCAACTTTACTGGGGGCATAAAGTGGATTCCCTAAAGGGCGGAGTACATAGGATCATATAGGATCGTAAGTGAAACGAAATTTCCAAATATGAACAACATGAAAATAAGTAACGAAAACCTCAAAATAATGAGGATAGTAAGAGATTCCCCAGAACTTAACATTTGGATAGATTATTGAGCGAAATATTTTCACATGAAATCCTAGCAATTGTCGATGCCGAAATTAAATAATTAAACAAGTTATGAAAGGCGTCTTTCTAACCTATATGTTTTTAGGTTGGTATTAGCAAAATTTCACTTGAAAGTGAAATAGAATTGCAGCATCTGTCATTTCAAAAATTTCGGGAAAGTTCTTTCACTTTTATTTTTCACGAAATGAACTTCTGTGTCCGAATTGAATATGAATATTGAGGAAATTTGTATCTGGAGACGATTGCGGCTTGAGAGAAACGGGAAGGGAGCTTGGGAACAACTTGAAAACCTTGCGACTGACGAAGAAAATAAAAGAGGGATGAGGATTGCATGAAAGGAATTATAGAATAGTGTCCTAGGAACTGTGAAATCGAAGGCCATATGTGGAGGACCTCAAACAAAGTTTAAGGGGGAACTTGAGGAGAAAGATGAGTTTTGGGGAGTATATAGAATCTTCTAAGGATTTTTAGGAAAGCTGAATTTGAGGGAAGCTTAAGAGGGGAACTTGAGCAGACGTTCAAAACGTCATATAGGGGAAATAAGAGAGGTTTAAGTGGTGTATTAAGGACAACTTGGGGGTTTGAGGGGAACAAATGAATTTTAAAGAAAACCTGACGAACTTGAGAAATTTGAGAATCTGAGAGAAACTGGAGAAGAACGTTTCAGAGGAACTTAATAGACGCTCAAAATGAAATGCAAAGCTTGAGGAGAATATGGACTTGAAAGGAACATAAGAAGCAATTGAGAAGCAAGGATTTGGTAAACACCTGAGAAAAGCTTGAGGAAATGAAGAACCTGAGAGCAGAAATTGAAATAAGATTGAGGACGGGAAGGGAATTGGAGAAAAATTTGACTAACTTGAGAGGAAAGGAGGGATTAGTTGTATCGAAGCTTCAAGAATGTTTAAAACGAGGCTGATAGTTATTTAAGCAGACAGTGAGGGGCATAAGTAAAATTGGAAAACTGGCGTTTAAAATTTAACTAAGTGTTGTAACAATGTATGAATTTCAGATGTATGATACATAGTAAATGGTTGGTTTCAACAGGATGGTGCACTCACGAATAACGCCCTAATCGTGCAAGAATACCTATCGGAGAAATTTTCCATTCTCCAGGAAATTTGTCCGCTAGGTATTCTAGCACGATTAGGGCGCTGGCGTTGTGCGCGGGTGCACCATCCTGTTGAAACCAACAGTTTCCAGCTTTTGTATTTTTGTGTGTGCCGCATATCGTTGTATTTGTAATAAAAAAAGCTACTCAATACAGTGTGTACTTTTTTTATGGGCCATATAAAAAATCATAATGATTTCTTCGAAACGAGACGTTATATTGAAAATCTCTGAACGGTATCTTGTAGAGCTCAAAAAGTCCCAATGAGAAAGTGATTTTTATTTTTTTGTTTCTGTTCAAATACCATCAGACAAAAATAAAAACGTCTTTGGAAGTAATTGGAATTGTCTGGATTTCTTTAAAGTATGATAATTACTGTAGAATCGCGCAACTCTTCCCTAATTTGACCATCGTCGTATATTCTATGGTTTGGAAGATCCCGATGATGGACATCCTTATCTGGGATACAGGGTATAGTACAGGTGATATTCCGATTTTTGACATTGATTGCATTAGGAAACTGGTAGAAATCGACGGACGGACCAAACCATCACATAAGTGGTTAGGGGAATTTATTTCGAAAAATTCCCATAAACAAGCTGCTCTCTATCTACTGTTCTCTTACAAAATTTCATGTCAGAACCCTGCTTGCAAATTGTGACCTCTCCACTAAACCAACTCAGCAGAAAACCAAACTACACATTCCAGAGAATCAAAAATCATATCGGAAACTCCCTGAAATTACTTCAAAAAAAGCCCTCTAAAAGCCTCGCGAAAATCTTTAAATACTTGAGGAATGTTCGAAGTATCCCCGAAGCGTAGTTTAAGAATGTATAGGAATCTCTGAAGAACTTCTGAAGGAATCCGTGAAGAATCCATGGGCAAACTCTGAACAATTTTTGAAAATTTCTGGTGAATCAATAAAAACTTGGGAATAATATGTTTGCTGATTTTCATAGAAAAAAATTGAAGATGCTTTGAGACTAAATATGGATGAAGACTGTGAAGCATCTCTAAAGTATCCTTGAATATACTCCAAATAAATGTCTGAATGTCCAAGTGTGATAATGTCCGAATGTATGAATGTCTAATTGTCTAAATAATAAGAGTTGACTTTAAACTTTGAAACTTTTACAGCAACTGAGATTCCTTGTGAAAGATGAAACAGAGGCACCCTGTATAGATCTTACTCAACTCTTGTTAGTTGTTTGGCTGAACTCAGATAATCCGGAGAATAAACGGCTGCAATGTTTTTCAATGTGCGAGACTTGTTACTTGTTTCCGAGGCAATACGTCAAAGTGTCATTGCGCTACCTTATTCAAAAGAATACTCGCTCTACAAGTTGGAAATTGTCAATTTAAAATCACAAGTCTTTGTATGTTTATTTATGATTATTTTACAATTAAGGCAACGTTCATTATGTAAGCACAAGAAAGAGAGTGCTCTACAAAAAAGTACGTGGACCGCTTGGCAGAAAGTACACGTTAAACATTGAAGAACATTAATGAAAAGCTAACAAATTATAAAGCGCAAATAGTAATTAGGTATATCTATATAATTTACGATCAAGGTAAATCATATACGTCATATCAACTCGTAAAGTGCTACCTACTCTAAAGTATGAAGTATTTGGCCTGAGTAATTAACCAACTAATTTGTGTTCAGAACTAATATCTCTAACATTCCTGATTGCAAACAGTCCTTATTATAATTGCAAGTCAAGTTTGCCTAAGTTATTACTTTGCCTTTGGAATGCAAATGTACTTAAGAGTTCCTGTGATCAAGGCGTGTCTCTTTTGCACCCCGTGTAAAAACCGTGTTCTCTTGCAGGGTCAAATAAACTAAGCCACTACAGTAAAGCGGGATAATAAAAAAGGTAGACGCGCGTATCCCACCTGTCAGTACGCATACGAAATGCTATCGTCGAAAGCAAAAAGTAGTTCACCGGCATTGTAAATCTACCACAAGCAAGCGCGTATCGAGACGTAATTCAGTAAAGAAAGCGAGTGTAGTGTCAAAATTGCTTTCCAATCCCAAAAGGCTCCATGTACAATGACGCCAGTCAAAAACTTTAGCATTACACATACAAGATAAAGTTTGTTTAGGATCTAGATCGGGTGTAACCCAGTACTACAAGTTCTTAACACGATCCGCGAAATATAAGGCGAAAGTCCCTTGAAACTAAACTAAAACAATGCCATCTCGGCTGTCTATTTAGTTAGATTTAAGAGAGATGAGAATAACTGTTTCGCGCTAAGGGAATAAGAAATGAATAAAGAAAACAAAAACTCCGTCTCGATTATGGGTCACGTACAGATTTGTACAATCTAATTATCCAATAGCTTGGTTTGCCGCGTAGGCATTATTGAGATAAAAGTTACTTACATTCATCGTGATCTTTGGCGGTAACAGTAAGGACGGTATGCTGTATATCCTCATTTTCGTCCACCTCCGCCTCGTACAGCGCCTTGTCGAAATACGGAGGGTTGTCATTCTTGTCCGCAATTCCAATGCGGATAAATTTAGTCACTGAAACAGAAATTCCAATTAAACTCGCTTTCAATACCGTTAAGTACTCGTACAATTAAAATTGATGAGGTGTTTGCACTTTCGACGATATCTAACAAGCTAAGGGGGAAGTTGTATCGATAAACTTTCCGAACCTATAATTTATATCACAGCGGCAAATTCCAAAAACTAAAAGGTGATTTATCTTTTTACGAAGAGAAGAAAACAGTTCGAAGCTATCGTAGGTACATCTTGACAATGATAAATGCCCATTAAACGTTGGTACCTTATCGAAGCGCTTCAGATCTCGATAAATCTTACAAATTTAGAAAGGATGCGCTGTATTTGTAGTAAATGGTTTCCTGTTTGCCGCTCTTCGTAAATATCATAAGTGCGAGATCAAAGGCAATATACCAATTATTATCTTAAGAAACAGATGACCTAAATTTGTTCGCACCATTAAATACACTACATTACGATGTTACAAAGGACAACGTTTCTTATCGCACATAATTAATTGGTTGTGGTAAGACAAACGGCCCGCATTGTGTTTTATGGCGTGAAATAGTCAACAAAGTTTAGCAGCGACATCAGATAGAAAACGATCAACGTGGTGAATCTCTGCTGAGCAATTTACACACCTTGCTTGTAGTTCGATGAAGCGTCGTTTATGTTCTGTGATGGATTTGTTCTCAAACACTAAGGTTTTGATATACATTCTATTGAATGAACCGCTTGAATAAGTTGAGATGTTCCAAAATTCAAGCTACGGATACCGTTGGCGTAAATAGAGACACCATTTTCACGTTTGAAGGTAAGTTAACCTTTAAAAACAATACCTTCACTTTGCAACAATGTTAACAATTATGATATCTGGAACCTAGTCGTTTATATGAATGGAAAATGGTAGGTTCAAGTTAATTTTAAGCCTTTACCTTCAGCAAGTACAATTGCATTTGCGTTAATTTCAAATTCAAGTTTCGTGTAAGTTTTAGTGCTGTAACAAAAGGTAATCTACTTAGTTTTAAATATAATTACTCACTTTACTGTAAATTATGTCGCCTTCAGCTGCTTTTAATTTACGGGTAGTAAACTCTTGAATTTGTTGGTAGGTGCAAGTTTAACTGTAAGTTTTCCGATCATTGGGTTTGTTGAGGATTGGCTATTTGTTTATTTCCATTTAACGTTTAGAGTCAGTGAGGTCGATTAGCGAAACTACCGTATTTTGAGTGTAACTTTCTTCCGTGCAGAGACAAATGCCGAAGTTATAGATTTATTTTGCGAAATACAATTTCAATCTAACAGTTGCCGTATCCAGGACCGAGATACATTGTGGATTGGAGGAGGTTCGGATAAGTTTCTGTTGAACTTTCTCGAAGATTATTCGTGAATATACAGACAATTTTGAGTTAGTGGGCATGTGTAAGAAATCAGTCTAGCAACGAATTGGAGTTTTTGAAGCGTAAGTGCTTAGGAATCTCGGGAACTGTAAGAGAATGGTATGTATGTAGTTTAAATATAATATGGAGAAGTTGCGTATTTTGATGGATAACAAAATGGAGATATCCGGAAAAAACGAAATTTTGCAAAAACGTTTTTATTTTTTGCTGGTCATAAAGATATTTAAAACTAAATGACACATTATTATGGCAACTTTTTTCCCTCTACAAGATGCTAGTTTTAAATTTTAAGTTTGGTGGTTCCTCTCCATCTCAACCATCATCAACTTTTTTTCTTATGGAAGTAATTTTTACTTTTTGTGTCATTTGATAGAGAATTTTTTTCTGGTTTCAAAAATGTAAACATCAAAAATAGCAATATTAATTCGTAAAAACGCAAGAAACTACGTACGGACACTACCCAAGACAAAGTTTTCTAGGCAAAAAGGAAGATATTTTAACAATAAAAAAAATGTGATGTTTACATGTTCTACCTATATCAAATGACACAAAAAGGCAAAAGTTACTTCAATAAGAAAAAACAAAGTTGATGATGGTTAACTAGAGACGAAATGTCTGATTTAAAATTTAAAACGAGCATCTTGTAAAGGGGAAAAAATTGCCATAATAATGTGTTATTTATTTTGAAAAAATTGTCTAAATATCTTCAGTAAAAAATAAAAACGATTTGGAAATTTTCATTTTTTTCCGAATATCTCCGAAAGTAGCCGGAATTTTTTCAGTTTCAAAACTGCATTTTGTTAAGCATCAAAATACGCAACTTTGCCAAATTGAATAGGTGGCCGGATGCGTTTACCCTGGAAATCGTAAGGACGCGCCTTGTATTAAGGGGAGCGCAACAGAGAACACGCATTATGGACGAGAACAAATTCAGCAAGCCGCACATCGGGAGTCCAACGTCAATCAAGAGGGAGAAAAATATAAATACGGAAGTAATGGATCCCGGAGAGAAAGGAAAAAAAACACGACATTAGCAGGAACGATTCAAAGTGGAAATGCTACAATTGCGGCGATCCAGCACATTTAGCTAGAGATCGTATGAGGCCAAAAGAAGCAGCTGTTTTACATGCAATAACGCAGGCCATTTCAGTCGGAGATGTCTAAGCAAGATGGAAGTAGACTGTGAACCATTTAGAGTTAGAAAATGGTGGACCTTGCGTTGTGGACTTAGGCACAAAAGTAAGCGCCATATGTGAAAATGCAGTGGGTGAAATGGATTTGGTACACGATCACCGGAAAATAACGCTAAATGTACATTTGTAGGCAAGTGCGGAATTTATCATATCATATTTTCTTTCCCCGTATAATCATGTAGTGTGTTGACTTTTAATGAGTTTCGGAAATTGTTGGCGTCAGTGTGCCTGAGATAGCAGACATACAACTACGGAGTTGTTAATTGAGATGCAATTGAACAGAATTTCAGTGGGTGGGTTTCTTGAGGAAGAACCTAATTTGTGTGTCATATGGAAAAGGGCATTAGTTATTTAGCAAGGAAAAGGTGAGGATTATTCCGGAGAGATTTTTGAATTATTCTGTTCTGGGGTACGACGCGTCAACTGTTCGACGTATAGTTATTTTTTCGAGAGATTCTTTAAGAAAATTCCAAAGGGCCACCATGTATGTGGCTATCTTTTAGATCTAGATAGAACTACGAATAAAAATACTGGGAAATTTTGAAGTATTGATGGTTTGTATTGATCGTAGACGCCAGTTTAATTCTGGAAAAAGGTAACTCCTCTAATTCAATTAATTAAACGTGTTTTAAACAACCAAGAAACAATTATTGTGCGTTTAGAAAAAAAACTGTAACGCGAGTTAAACGCATTTCCGTCACATAAATTACAACCATGTGCGGCCGACGGTATCATTTAAACGTGCCGGTGTCGTGTTTTTGGTACAAAGGGCTCTTATTAACCAGTGCCAAATTATTTTGCTGCGAAGAAGTAATAGAGATTGACTTTGTCGATAGAATTTGTCAAGGAATTTGTAATGGGGAAATTGTTCCAAACGTCCGTATTTGGAAAAACAGGTTGTATACATTTTTCTCGGAGAAAACTCCTTTGGTGTGAATAAATAAACATGTAAAAAACCGCTCACAACAAATTGTAGTGAAAAAAAAGTTCCTTGTTAACGTCGGAAAAAATTCCCTGCAGAAATCATAGAAGTAGTAGGTAAAGGTCACTAACAACCGAATCTACAAGTTGCAGTGTAAATTTCCGAAAAACTGGCCGGCCCTACAGTCATCCACCAAAGGAATTATTTATATGAGGTACAGTGCTTTTATTTCTGTAACATTAAGGCTTGTTTATCTTTACGAAAAAATTTCGTAAATTTATGTTATTTTATTGAAGTTGACATTTCCAAAATTTGGATTTCTGTGTTCTTAAAGATCTTAAAAATCTTTGGGTAAATTGAAGCCGTTTGTATTACATGAATTTTATTATTTATGAACCCATTAGAATTTGATTTGATTGAGAAAATATTTTTCAATTATTCATTTCAAGTTGTTTGTGTAAGGTTCAATAAAGAGAGTTAAAAAGATTGTCTCCACAAACATTTTTTGTTTGATAATTTAATGTTTAATTTTGCTAGCAGGTCTTAAAATCCATTTTCTAGACGTAAAGAAAGGAGAAATTTTCATTCCACCCATCATAAAAGATCATAAATAATTTTCGAACAGCATCTAGTAATTGTATCACAGTTTACGATTTGCATTTCAACCTTTTGTTAAAATTAGCAATAACGCGCGTGTAACCAGATAAAATGAATCTGGACATTAATACCAGGAAATATACGATTGGTTGATACAAACTAATAGCGATTCGTAACGCAGCTGCATTTCAGAGAGATTATCAATTCAAGTTCAAACAAAAACTGGCTTATGGAAAAAATAATGCGTGGAGAATTAAAAAGGGCATCCAACCTAAAGTAGATAGTTTATTCCGAATCCTGCATGGAGACTTCGTTAATTAGAATTTCGTTGCGATACGTTGGTAGAACAACTGCACGAGCGAAATTTTTAATGAAACCAAAAATGAGTTCCTTCGTGTGGCATTGTGTTCGTTATCAGCTGATACATGCGATGGGTTTTGGTAGTAAATTGCGTTATGAATGTAAATCTGATACAGGTTTTGCATATCGATAAATCAAAGTTACAATTTCACACAAGCTTTCAAATGACAGCGATATTTTAATAAACACGTATGGAAAACACTAAAGTTGTTGTTATGTAAATGAAACTCGAAGCAGTTAGATTTAATTTCATGATACCTTCACTAATATGGGCGAAACGAAATTTCAAATTAAGCCGAAGCAAAAAAATGTAAACTGCACCTATACGGTAGCGTCTGGATCCATTATGAAATATAATAATGGCGCAATTTTCAAAAATGATACCCATTAGAAGTCTGGCAAGTCGCTTAATTTGTAACGTTCTCCATTAGGTCTAATGGCATAGCTGATGTTGTAACATTAACTTTCTGCAATTCTATGTTTTGGCTCATTAAGTTTAACAAACGCGATTTTGTTACGTACCGTTCGTAAAACCGCGCGTGACGGTAATCGATAGGAATTAGCACCAATACAATATTACTAAACCGTAAAGAAATCGGGTTGAAGATTAATTATTTGAAGACGAACACTAAGTCGGTCAATTAAGTGCATCCCCTCACCACCATTAATTAGTCTCTTTATGGCTCAAATCGATGCCTTCTCAAGTATCTAATTGGAAAGACGAACGATTTTAGACGACTTTGTGAGGGAATGCAAATGACAAGCCGAGCGTAGAATCTTGAGCTTTTTGTAAGATCGTCTGTTAATGACTTTACAACGTTGTCCTAACGAGTCTACCTCATGTCGTCTTGTTTTATGGGCCGCCGTTTCGAATGCAACGCAACTGTAAAAAATCTGTAGTCTTACTGCCTCTGCCTTTTCATCTGATTGTTATTCGGATCATGAGTGGATCAACTCGTCTCCCATTCCGATCACGTATCCCTACTAGCGTAATTGCCTACCTGTCGATGTCTTTCGATGCTTTTTATCAATGTGTGAATATTTACGTAATTACATTCATCTATACTAGTAAATTTGCTCACAGGGATGAGGCATCCTCCGTTTGTGGTGATCCCACGTTTTTCCGACCTTACATTTTCAGAAAGCTAAAAATTGTTATTACTTATGTAATTAGTTCATTACATAATTCGCCATTTCAGTGTCAGGAAACTGCAACCTGGCATATTTTGGTGGTGTTTGTAAATGTAAAGCAAAGGAATCAACGATTCAAGATGTCCGATTTTGTTAAAAAGAAGCCATTATGTCGGAGTTCATTATTCAGTAAGAAATGGAGGGTGGGTGGGTGGGGGGGGGATTCCTAAAATAAATTTATGTGTGAAATTAAGGGTGCAACCGCGGTATAGTACGTGTGTAAAATGTGATTTTTTTTCCACGGATGGAGTCGAACTGGCGCTTTGTTACGAAAAATGGGAACTTCTAGACCTAATTATTTACTTTCCAGAACGTGACAGTGAAGTGTAATAGTACATTATATATCAAGGTAGAGAAGTACAGTATTATTGCCTGGGCACCAAGATTACATCTCGAGGCGGTGTAAGGTGCGAAGGCAATAATAGACTTCTCTACCGTGGTATATATACTATTTTTTTCACTACTAGCACTTGAAATCCTCTAAATTAACATATTATATTGATAAGAAAATGAACGGTTGGACAGAATTTTTTGTTTATTAATTTAACATGTCAATCAAGTACGTAGAAATACAAGTCAAACAGGCCGTATTTTGTTCTGTCATTGAGATATTTTCAAAGAGTAATTTCGTTCGAATTTTTTCAAAATGTGATAATTTTAGGTATGTA